TTGTTCCAGGCATGCAAATGACCACTGTCCAATTATCAAATTAGAGAGTCTGGTCGGGCTACCCTGACATGGGTGCACTGGCACTGGCTCAATAGCCCGAAAAAATATCCTATCAGAAAATCTCATGGCATTGTAATGACAGTGTCAGATGGCCTGGGTTCACACGCTGAGAACCATGTCTTGGCCAAATCTTTCTATCCCACAACTAGTTTGTAGTGTCATGATTAGATTAGATTTAGATTATGAACAAAAAATTAATGATGAGAATCTTTACAGGATTTGTAATAAGTCTAAATTACAATTTAATTGGAAGTGCTTGCCCAAGGCCTAGAGTCAATTCTATATTGCTATATTCCACATTAGAAATTGTAACCATTTCGAAAAAAAACACAATGTTTCTAGATAATTTCAAAGTATGATTTAAAAAAAGTAGAAAATTTTCTAATTGTTACAATATTTGTGAAACATCTCAAATAGGTTATATATATAATGAAAAGAGCTGTTCATTCAGTTTGGATATTTCCCAAAAATTTAGGAACAGAACGTAAAATGCTTGTACAGCGCAGGATGTACATGTATGATAGCAGACCAGGTAGCCTGGGTGTAAGAAACAGGGGCGAGCTGTAGCGCCTATAACCCCCCCACTGTTACATGGGTACCAGACTGCTGCCAGGCTAGCTCCTTGGCTCCTGGAGGGCCAACATTTGCCCAAGGAAATGTCACCATAGAGTGATAATAGACATCCCTCAATAAGCCTATGAATTACATTGTAAAGGCTTGTTATCCCCTAGACACAAAGAACACAGTTTCTTTAAAAATGGGTGACAAAAGGGGAGGGGAGGTGATTATGATAAAATTAACAAGTTCTAACTTCCAAGCAACAACTTGAAGTTAGTCTCCAGTCAGAATCTGATCAATGTTAGACGTGTTTACAACTGAAGAAAGGGGATGCTTTTGCTTCCGAAGCAAAAGCATTCATTGAGTTATCAGACTGCATGAATTGTCATGACATACAAAAAATCAGATGATCATTGATCAATTACTAAGGTGACCTTGAGAGAATATTGATGTAATGTTGTAATTTTATAGAACAGGATTCTTCTTCAAGTGAATGAGTCTGAGAAACAAGTAATGACATTATATTTAGTCTCTATGGCCGGCCAACTCCTCTGGCCAATGATGTTCCCCTTAGCCATGGAGCTACCTCCATGCCTTAGCCGATTGCTACTATTTATTTAGCCTGCAAAGGAGTCTGGTGGAGACTACATTACATGTATATTGGTGTGGCCTAACAGTTGTATATATTTATTATACAGTCATTCCTGCCGAAATTTCTAGGAAGGATTCTATCTGCAGGAATCTACAATGTCTTAGTAGGTTTTTCCTGCAGAAATTTCCTGCAGGAAGAAAATTTTCAAAATTAATTTCCATGCATGTTATCATTCATACCTGTCCAATTATCAAATTAGAGAGTCTGGTCGGGCTACTAGTACCCAGACATGGGTGACATGGTCTTTGCAGCTTGCACTGGGTAGCTCAATAGCCCGAAAAAATATCCAATCAGAAAACCTTATGACATTGTATATAATGACAGTGTCAGATGGCCTGGGTTCACACGTTGAGAACCATGTCTTGGCCAAATCTTTCTATCCCTCAACTAGTTTGTAGTATTATGATTAGATTAGATTTAGATTATGAACAAGAAATTAATGATGAGAATCCTAGTTTTATTTTTTAAGATAGTCGGTCATCTTTTCAGGCTCCTACTGGGTGACCCAGTAGTCAAGCTGCCCAGATAGAGGTACTGTAATTCGACGTGTAACTCAACAACAGTCCAACTTGATAATTGGACAGTGGCATTTGCATGTCAAGAACAATAGCTAAACTTAGTTTCATCCCGCATAACAATTGTTCCTTGATCAGAATAATTACCTGAGAACTGTTGAACCATGGTTGAACAGAAATGGACTGAGGGTTTTATAACTCCATTGCTTGAAAGCAGGTTCAAGTTGCATTATATGCATGTATTAAGCTTCTTGCTCATATTATATAGTACTAGAATTTTGTCCGGCAAAACTGTCTGTAACATAATTTTCCCAATGTTTCAACTGAACTGAACTGAACTTCAATGACATTCAGGATGCTCATGAGAAAAAATTGTTTCATTTTCTACCCCTAGCTGGTACAGAACGTGTTTGTAAGCTCTTCTTTCTTTTTTGTGGTCTACATGTAGTTGAAAGAGCATGCGAAGCTGAGTGATTGAGTGAGTGAATGAGGTTGAAAGCAGCAAAAATGTACAACACTGTTAACAGATGGGTGTGGATTATGCTCTCCTTCCTTATTTTCTGCTCTGAGAATGAAGTTTTACACATCACTTGGATCAGACCGCGGGCTGAGATGTAGTCCGTGAGGTCTGAATCCTTACCCCACCAGGCTGAAATTGGCACAGACAGTCTGCAAACATCAATCAATTCACGCCTTCCATGCCATTGTTTTGGGCTTTTTGCACCTCTTTGACCAGAAATTCCAGACCGCGGGCTGAAGTTAGGCTGACGGTCTGAATGGTTTTTGAGTAAATCAGCCCGCGGGCTGGGATTCTACACCTGTAGTCTAGTGCCTTTAGACCGAAGGTCCTGTAATTAAAACTTGCGGGCTAGTTGTTAGGCCTGACGGGCTGTTAGTAAAGACCACCGGTCTGCTTGTATTTATTATTAATGATATCTTAAGTTATGAACACTGCAGAACAATAATTTTCATATCACTGTGCTCATTACACCAAGAGCTACACACTGATGTGAAACTTGAATGTTGAAAATCAATTTTACTTGAGTTTCCAAATGCCTTGTGACTTTCCAAAATTGATGCGACCAGTGTTTAGTGATTTTTCCTGACCAATCTACATAAATAGCCAATCAGATGAGCTGGCGGTTTACTTCAATTACATGTGTATCTACCCAAAAATAACATTGTCGCTAGAACGTAATGCGCATGCATGAAAACCCGGTTTCTTCATGGTTTCAGTTAGAATTTTTCTGCATTAGAATTTTTGATCAACGTTGCATCAGCATTTCATCCGTTGCAGACGATATACTTTCTGACAAAACATTTGTAAACTATAGACCAAAGTTTTATGTCATTTACGTGAAACGTTCTCGGCTCTCTCCAAGCAATGAAGCAAGGATACTCCCCCTCTCCACAAAATCCTAGCACCTCTCCAAAAATGTTCAAATTTAGGGTTTTCTCTTAGTATTAACATGAAAATTCACTGACTTTTCATCAACCGATTAGGGAGCACCTCTCCCCTAGGAATTTCTGGGGAGAACCCTGGTTCTGCTGAAGTGCTATGCATAATACATTTCAGGTTCTACACAGGTGCAGTACGTTCTGTTCACGTGTTCAACCATCTGTAGTTCTGTACCCAAGTTTCCGTACCTGCCAGCTGGGACAGTTTCTGGTGCAGGTGATGAACCATCTCTAAGGCTTCTGCAACCTCGTCCTGGCTCTTACTGCAGCCCTGTGACAAAGAAAACAAGGTTACAATTCTTATAAAACTTTAGCACATCAGAGATTCTATCAATTGTACTACAATTACACGGCTCAAAATCCTTTTTTCTGCATATACCTGAACTGGTGCATGTAACATTGAAAATTACCTGCACTGGTTTTATAAACATGTAACATTAGAATTGTAGATTTTTGTGATGTATGTCTGTAGATTTTTTTTTGCTGACTTGACTGCTAAAACCTTCATGTATGAGCTTGGTACTAAAGGTTGGAAAATGGCAAGGGTTTCTATCTAAACAAGTTCCAAATTCTGAGTGGTACAGGTAAAACTTGTCTGTTACACTAATTTTCAATGTTACCTGCACCAGCACAGGTATGCAGAGAAGAGGATTTCAAGCAGCAGACATCAGGTCAGTCCTTGAGGCCACATATTATTCCCCCATCACTCCTAATGCTGTGTATTACGGACCCTCCTCACACCTTACCTGTACTGCCCCAGACACACCGGGCTGCCTGCCAACCCCATCAGTCAATAGGGATTCACTCCTGGCAAAGAACTGGTTACTATTCCTGCCTCTAAGTCTAAGGCCTAGGAAAAAAAATGTTGTGTTTCCCAACCAACCCTAGAAAAAAACTGGCAACCCTAGCCTTTTTTTCTAGGGTGGACCCCTGCAAGAGACATTAATTTTTCGAGCTGATCAACGGCTTTTCTAACTCCATGGTCTGACCCGAGTGATGGTTTTCCAACATTGACATTGTAAATATAGGTCCTCAAGCAAGTTTTACTTTGTTAAACAGTATTGTGTAAGTTGGATCACTAGAGATAATATCAGAGATAATCACTAGAGTCTAATAAAAAAAGAAAAAGGATACTAGTATTAGTAGTAATCTCTACCTACCGGCCCTAATTTTTTCAGCACTGAAACAGGAAAGACAACATTGTTTTCCTAGGCCTCAGTCAACCGGGATTGACTCCTGGCTACTATTCCTGTCTCTAACAGGCCTTCTGTCCAATTTGGTGTCCCTACAGCCAGCTGACGGCTCTGAGGAGTGCATCAGGACATCAGAAGGCTCAGTCAGGTGATGGAACTGAGAACCTGATTACCTCATACTTGACTTCTTTTCGGAGGGAAGGTTAAGACTGGGGGCCTGACGGAGGTTTACGTGATTAGGCAACACCAAGTAATTTTTATGAACATTGTTTTCTTATCATAGTTCAGTATAGACCTTATCAAAGTTCAAAGTACCCTTTCTTTAATCACAGAGCTTTCACAGTCAAAACAGAAACAGTACTGAAGCAAGATAAAGAACATTGCTTGTGATTGATGAACTAGTTTTGTAAATACTGTACAAATCATTCGTACTAGGGAGACGTAATACATGATACTATTGATAGAATAACGAACTGAAAAGCGAAGAGCAATCTTTGTTTAATGTCAAACTATTTCACAATTTGGGATACAGTAATAGTTGAGGTTGTTGTGTACAGTATAGACATGCCTGTGTACACATAGAGCAATCTTTGTTTTACGTTGAACATAATTTGGTATACACTATGAATAGTATGATACACACTCATTGTATACAGACTGTAGCCCTGCCTGGGTGCACACATTCCTGTGGTTGACTGCCCAGCTGTTGTATTTAATCCTGCAGGTTTTTATGTGGTTTCAGTGCTGCGTGTAATCCTTGCCTTTCATGGCAGTGTGACGTGTGGTTTCTACCAGCATACAGCTAAACCACAGGCATCCCACAACATCCATAATTACATGGTGGCAAGGTGGTCTTGTGGTTAGGGGTGTCGACTTAGGATCGGAAGGTTCTGGGTTCGAATCCCTAGCAGGCCACAGTGTTGTGTCCTTGGGAAAGGCACTTTACTGTATTTCCTCACTCCATTCAGGTAAAAAAATAACTAGCTTCGATTAGGGCATAAAGCCAGAGGTCTTGTGTTTGAGGACAGCCACACCTCAAGCACATTAAAGACCCCACCGCACTTATCAAAAAGAGTAGGGGTCCTTCCTAGTGTGAGTGATTCAAACATTGCAGTCCAGTCTTACGTAACTTGTATTTATTTATATGCTACTGTAAATCATTATTTTTGCTGAACTTTTATACTCATGGTTTTTGCTGTCACTTCTGTACCAAGAACTTATCATTACACATAATTTGCCGACTTTCTTTTTGCTGCATCTGCCGCCATCACAAAACTAGTTTCACATACATGTCCACTTTTCTTTGACTGCACAGTTTTGCTACTGCAAACATAAAGTGATTTACAGTAAACTGGAATATCAACATTGAAAGCACACTGTCAAATCAAGGCGCTGCAAAAATGTTCACGGTAGCAAAAGTTCACCATCTGAGAAAAATGGACATGTTCACTGAACTATATATTCACGGTGGCGACAGGTGCAGGAAAAAGGAAGTCCAGGAAATCCATGAATTATTTGTTAACTGTAATGATAAGTTCACGATACAGAAGTGACAGTGAAAACAGTGAACATAACACTCAATTAACAGTATAGTGGAAAAAGCAGGAACTACTGTATAAAGGAACTACAGACACTGCCCCATTCCACAGTTGACTGCTGTGCCCACATCAGACGAGTCGTTAGTGACTTAATGAGCAGAACCTAACGAGCAGCGACCCTCCCTGCTTCCTTCCTTCCTGCCAGAAAAACTCGACCCGCCCAAGTGATGACAGAGGACAGAAATATGGCTAAAACAAACCCACGCCCTCATGTCACTGTCAAGGTAAACACAGACACACCCACTCAACTACTTTTGGGAAAACTATTTCAAACTCATCTTTTTAAACTTCCAAGAAGACTGTTAAAGCCCACACTTAACTTCTAGGAAAAATATACTCCTACCCACTTCTATTTCCAGGAGAAAGTCTATCTATTTTTATATTACATTATACATATCGACATGGCCTTGCCACTACATGTACGAGCAGCCCAGTCACTGGGAACAAATTTGAAGTATGATAAGGAACTTGGACTGATAACGGACTGATGATTTACTATTTATTTTTGTATTATATTTTGATTTGCATTTTGTTTTGATTTTGTATTATATTTTGGTTTGATTTGTAATCCGTGACCCCGCCCTCACCCTCGACCTTGTTGAAAAGCGGTTATTTGTAACCGAACAAGCTTTCGAGTTTAAATAAAGGCTTACTACTACTACTACTACTACTATAATATGTGATAGGATTGTTAACTAGAAAAGACATGTACCAATACAAGAACACATGTCAATCAGCATGAGGCCACCAATTTCAATTTTTTTTATTTACAGATTTTCTTCGTGACAAAGTCTTGGCCTGATACTCCTATGATGACACTTAGCCATGATATGACTAAAAATCCCACATCCTGCTAGGATGCTAGGATGTGACCACAACACATTCTCTATTGCTGTTTCATCTAGCTGAGTGAATCACGTTTGCCACATTAAACCTTCAGTCATTTTAAGCAGGATGGTCTGATTTTCAAAATCATAGTTATCTCAAATTATCTGGAATTTCAAGTTATCCCAAATGTCGGAAGCTCATATCTTATTAATCTGCAGTAGTTTTCCACTTCAACTGTTTTTGTCAGTATCAAACAAATATGAATGGAATTCTAATAATTTTGTGTCACTTATGGTGCGATTTTAAAACAGCTACAATGCATATAAATTATGAAAGACTGAACTGATGTGGCCCATACTATGGGTGAAAACATTAATCTTAAGTTTATGTCATATACAACCTTGTACAGTATAAGAGCACAATGTGACATACATGTACTTGTATATACAGTATGTGTGAACATCATTGCCTACAACACATATCTTAAAACATATATATACATGTATGTTAAAGGCTATATTATAATACAATTATATAAAGACATAAAGTAGAGCCTACCTCAGTGTTAACATCAGGTCCACATAGCAGGAAATTATCTGAAAAACAAAGAAGAGTTAAAAATTAGCAATCTAACAGTTTAAGTAAATCAACATTGTAAATTCAAATTGCGTAGCTGTACTGAATCTATTTTTGGCAAAAATGGTACAAGCCAAGTTCTGCCAACTGTGGGCATACAGTAGTTCACCTGGAAAAAAGTCAAGGTTGTTTTAAAAGAGTAGAGGCTTCCCCAAGAACCCCATTTATAGCCTCTCTCCCTACTCCTTTCACAAGGACCCCATGTAGAGCCTACTCTTAAGACTTTTGCAGTCCCTTCAAACTTTGAAAATCTTTTGGCAACATCAATGTCAAAGTTGAAGATCACTTGTAACGTAAACAATTCACATTTGGACATTTGGACTAAGAGGGCGCACCACCACACCAGTACCATAGCTTATTTCAGCTACTTTACAAATTCCTTTCAAACTTTGAGGAAACCCCATACAAAGCGTCTCCTTTATAATTTATAGCCCATTCCAAATACCACAACCACAACCTACCCACACATAAACAAAACACATTTGTACAGTCTTGTCCTAAGGTAGCACGCCCTAGCTTATTTCAGGTACATGTACTTTATACAATCCTTTCAAACTCCATGCACGGCCTCTCCTTTATAATTCATATCCCCTCTCTAAAACCCCCATCATATGTGTATTAGGGGGGCACACCAGTACCATAGCTTTTTTCAGGTACATCATACAGCCCTTTCAAACTTTTAGAAAACTCTATACACAGCCTTATATCCCCTTTCCAAAACCCCCAATCACAGCCTCCCCTCCCTCCCAACTGGAGAAACATCCTAGCTTATTTCAGGTACATTGTACTATATACTTTCAAACTTTGAGAAACTTATTTCAGCTACTCTATACAGTCCTTTGAGGAAAACTCCATCCACAGCCTTAGTTATATCCCCTTTTCAAAAACCCCAATCACAGCCTCCCCTCCCTCCCAACTCCAGCCCTGACAACATTCCTAGCTGGTGACTTCACTCCCTACAAAAGGGAGGGTCTCTCTCTCCCAGGATAATGGCTTTTCTTGCCAACTTTGTGTCTCTGCCAAATCGGCTGCGGTCCCAGTCCTGGCTAAACCCCTCTATACAGTCCATGCAGCTTCAGTTGAATAACTGCAGGGCTGGAAATACTGGGGGAAATACATGTGCACCTTAGTCAGTGCACCCAAATTTGGAGCTGTGCACCCAATAAAATAGGTTTAAGTATGTAACAATGTATTGTTAAATGTAAAGTAGTATACAGCATATTCTTAACACCTTTAGTGCACCCAAATTTGGAGCTGTGCACCCAATTTTTTCTGTGGGTGCACCAGTGCACCCAAATATCTTGGTAGGTTTACATGTATGTAAGATGTTGAATGTAATTAGTAGTATACAGCATATTCTTAACATCTTAACACCTTTAGTGCACCCAAATTTGGAGCTGTGCACCCAATTTTTTCTGTGGGTGCACCATTGCACCCAAATATTTTCATAGGTTTACATGTATGTAACGATGTTAAATGTAAAGTAGTATACAGCATATTCTTAACATCTGAGTGTCAGAAAATAATAAAATCATTGTTGTAGTGCTTTTCTTTAGAAATAAAACATTTGCTGACATTCTGCTTTATATTTTTATTTTATATGGTGCACCCAAGAAATTTTTGTGCACTCATTTTTTTGGTTGGGTGCACCAGTACACCTATATATTGCCAAAACTGAATTTGGAGCCCTACAGTTGTGTGCCTGCCAAATCGGCTGTGGTCCCAGTCCCTGGCTTTACTCCTCTATACAGTCCTCGCACGTCTCAATGACAAAGGGAAGAGACTTGACAATAACCAGCTTTCATTATAGAGTGAGCTTATAGCCTCAGGTCTTCTGAGCTTTCTTCTTGACTACCTGGCAAAACTTGAGTACCTGAAACACACCTGTGAGTGTGGGAGGCTATTTGACAGCCTTGTGGTTCAAACACCTCATTTTACAAGGTTTTCTGTGATTTTTTTTATTTTATTCACATGGATTTGAGCATTGGATAGGAAGCACTTGTTGTGCTTATGTGAATCCGCTGCTCATAAAACATAATCTGTGATTTTCTGTGATTCACGCTGCTAAAAGATTTTTTCCTTGTACATAATTATTGACTCTCTATGAAATTGTTTTCTGTTGGTTTCATGTATGCAAAAATTTCTCATTTCGTCTAGTTTATTCATCATCCTTGGTCTATGACAGCCAGTTATCTCTATATAGACGTTGGCAGAATGTACAGCACCTGTGCAAATCCCCATTTTTCACGTTTTTTGTTGAACTTTGCATCAGAAGTTGGCCTGTTGCAGACAATACATTTTCCGACAAAACATTTGGAAACTATACACGAAGTGTTAAACTTGTATGCGCGAATACAACCTTATGATAATAAGTTATGTGAGACATTCTGCCAATGTGCAATGCACCGTACATTATGGGTTTTGTGCAGGTGCCAATGTTCTTATGCCCTACCTGTGGTTGTCTTGGGTGTTACCAGCAGGTCCCAGCGAACGTTCAGGTACATCAGAGCCAGCGCCAGGAAGAACAGAGCCATCAGGACAAGTAGGACTCTGGACACATACTGGCCCCAGTATACACCACCTGAAACACTGGAGACACAGTACAGGGGGGTTAGGGTAACTCTGGACACATACTGGCCCCAGTACACACCACCTGAAACACTGGACACAGACACAGGGGGTTAGGGTAACTCTGGACACATACTGGCCCCAGTACACACCACCTGAAACACTGGACACAGACACAGGGGAGTTAGGGTAACTCTGGACACATACTGGCCCCAGTACACACCACCTGAAACACTGGACACAGACACAGGGGAGTTAGGGTAACTCAGGACACATACTGGCCCCAGTATACACCACCTGAAACACTGGAGACACAGTACAGGGGGGTTAGGGTAACTCTGGACACATACTGGCCCCAGTACACACCACCTGAAACACTGGGTGGAAAAAAAGGGCAATAGAGTACAATGTTGAACTTTATTCCAACACAAGGATTGCACAGAACGATCCATACATGAACAGCACTGTCCACACCTGAACAGCACTATCCACACTTGAAGTTCAACAGCACTGTCCACACCTGAACAGTGTCCACACCTGAACAGTGTCCACACCTGAACAGCACTATCCACACCTGAACAGCACTGTCCATGCCTGAACAGCACTGTCCACACCTGAACAGCACTGTCCACACCTGAACAGCACTGTCCACACCTAAACAGCACTATCCACACCTGAACAGCACTGTCCACACCTGAATAGCGCTGTCCACACCTGAGCAGCACTGTCCATACCTGAACAGCGCTGTCCACACCTGAACAACACTGCCCACACCTGAACAGCACCATTCACACCTGAATAGCATTGTCCACGCCTGAACAGCACTATCCATACCTGAACAGCATTGATAATGCCTTTCAGGGATAGCACTTGCAATGCAGCTGTGGTATACGTGTACAGTACTATGAACAATGTGTGGACAGTGCTGTTCAGGTATGGACAACTTGCTGTCCAGGTGTGGACAGTGCTGTTCGGGTGTGGACAACATGCTGTCCAGGTGTGGACTGTGCTGTTCATGTGTGTACCGTGCTATTCAGGTGTGGACAGTGCTGTTCAGGTGTGGACAGTGCTGTTCAGGTGTGGACAGTGCCATTATCCACACCTGAACAGCAAACCTGAACAAGTCAGCACATACCTTAGCATACACCTGTACCCTTTGTGTCCCACCCTGACCTATATTTAGTTGTCAGACCTGTCTATGTTGACATAGCCCGAGACGTAGCCAAAACAAGGGCTTAAATTAAACTAGCAGCTGATACCAGCTGTAGCTGGTTTGGGTTACTATAACCAGCAATTTGAGCAAATTCAATGCAATTCCTTGTTTGGGGATATCGCAACGTTTTGATTTTGCTGTTCTATCTCACCACAAAAATGGCATCACCGCAAAATTTTCTATATTTACAGTAATGCCCATCTTTCTCCAAACATCTGCTTGGATTTGATACTAGTCTGCGGGTTGGACAAGTCCTATTGCCCCTGACTTGCCCAGGGCAAGTAACAGTACTGTTCATACAACTGCATGTGCCCCTAGACATGCCCGATTGGGCAAGTAAATTTTTTGGATGCAAAGTATAGCCGCTACTGTGTTTTGAGCAAGTCAAACCACCTTATTTTGATAAATAAAGCACCCAACATTATAAACTCCAAAATAAGATAATTTCCTTGCTGGTAGGAAAAACACATAGATATATGTATATTTCGGGCAAGTGAAAAGTTGGTTTGAACTAGTGGAAATGACCCAATGGATTTTGAAAACTTGTCCAACCCTGCGTCATGTCTGCCCCAGATGACAGAAAACCTGTGGTAACTCCCGTGTCTGTCCTAGATAACCACCAGTGCTGGATTTAGGACCTGTGCTGTATTTTGGGGTGTCTGTGAATAAGTTCAGCTGTTACTAAAGGGTGTCCCACATTCGGACAGACGGTTTTCAACCTTGTGGAAAGAGGGGACATTGCTTGTCTTTTCTTCAAGCATATGTAGGGTGGAAAAAATGCAGCATTTTCTGTGAGGGAAAATTATAATGTTTTCTGGAAGGAAAATAATCTTTTTTCTGTCATGGAAAATCAACTTATTATGATTCCTGTGACAGAAAATTTAAACATGTCCTGAGAGGAAAAATTATGTTTTCTGTGACTCGAGCGTGGAGGAAAATTCCAACGTTTTTGAAGAGGAAAAATCTGCAACAGTGCAATGCAAAATCCTGCTATCACATAAACTTGGCAGCCCAAAAACATTTTTATTTTCACTCCCATAAAATGTTACAGATTCGGGTCATCCAGAAGAGAAAACGCCAAATTTTCCAATCCAAGTATCTGCTTGGAGATTATTGCTTTGCTACCACCAGACAGCAAACATGCAGGGAGGTGATTCTTGGGCACATTGTCAATAAACACACTGATAACAATCTGGGGACAAACATGGCTCAAAACACACTGCACGGCTGTGTACCTGATACATGTACCTGCAAAATTATTTTCAGTACAGGTCCAGAACTTAACATCTGGTGTACATGTATCTTAGTAAAACACTAGTGCCGAGTAGTGGACTACGTTTTGCACACTAAATTAAGATAGTTAGACTCACTGCATCCCAAATACAAAAATTTATGACTTATCTAATTTCCTTTGCATAAATTGTTTGCAGGAGTTTAAAAATATTTTGTGGTTGGCACACAAGACTGAATTTCATAGTCCGCTGGATACTGAATTGAGCTCCTGTTGAAACACAATTCGTACTGCGCATTTACGAGGTGACGGCCAAAACCTGTAAACAGATCTTGTCTAGACCATAGTTAATACGTGTCAAGACTTGTTTTGTTTATATCTCAAGGGCCTTCAACCTTGACATATTATCATCCACAATGCCTCATACTGTCACTAACTGTGCATGTGCAGTTCAAACCATGAATCACTTTTTTGGTCTAAAGTAAAGACAAACTTTTAGTAGATACCGTATTTTTAAATTTGAATTGAAAATCTTCAATTCATCTGCATAAAATTCAGGATATGCTACGATTTGTAAGACTTCATAGTACATTGTACATACATTGGAAAAGATTCACTTAAAACACTGAGTACATGTATTTCTACCTTATGAAGTCTGTGATGTGTCAGTAAGCCGAATGACGAGTTGTTTACATTTCTGAGCTGTCTCAAATACTTGCTGTAATTTGGAGGTGGGAAACTCCAGCCTTACTGTCGGTCAAGATTTTACCTCATTTTTTGACAAATGAAAAAAAAAATACAAAGCTCCATTAAAAAAAAAAACATACATATACACGTTAGCATCCTTCTGTGAAAAGTGAGGTTTGATAACACCTATAATGGGGTAATTAAATGTCTCTTAATTCATCACTTGTACTACTATTGCTGTGATTTCATTTTTGCAAATTTCCTTGCTATTGTGTAGTTAACTGTTTGTGCCATTGTTTTGACTGTAAACTCAAAATTAAATAACTGAATTTACAGTAATACCTGTACCTCTAAATGGTTTGGACTTCAGTGCCCTTTGTAATGTTACTAAAAAACATCTAATTTCCTTGCTATTGTGTAGTTTTGTGCCATTGTTTTGACCACATACTCAAGATTAAATCCATGCTGAAATACAGGAGTTTACAGTAATAAGTATACCTCTGGTTTAGGCTTCAGCGCCCTTTGTAATGTTACAAAAACACATCTATGTCAGGAATATCTGCTGTGTTTTTTTGGTGTCTAGATCTCCAAGTTCGTTCCTGTCCCAAATCACGGGACAGCCGCCATGGAAAACAAACTCCTTGGAAGAGGGCCATGGGTTCATTGACCCTTCAAGGTTCCGTTTTGGCTGGGGTTGGGTGACGTAAGTAAGTACAGGCACGAACCGCGCAGCTGTCCTGGCCAATAAAATCTGTGTCCCCTTGTATATTTGTCTCGTAAAAGAAAAAAAACACAGGCATTGCGTGCGAGACAGTGTGTGTGTGTGTGGTGAAGCTATTACTATACTGTCTATAGTATTACCTGTTCAAGTCTTCGGCGGTCTGAAACTCTTTCTGCAGAATATCGTCTCCGGTGTTGTCGTACTCCTTCGCGACTGGAGTTCCGCCGTTGGGCTGTTGTTGTGGGGCGGTTGGGGCGGTGTTGGAAGGGGGTCGGCGATGGGTGGGGAGAGGGGGTCTGGAGAGGGGTGACGACACCCAGACAGTCATTTTGCTCTGTTTCTTATTGCTGTGGACGTGGTTTGTTGCATGGTTGGCGAGGGGCTTGTGTCTGGCGTTGGCGCCCAGATCGGGTGGGGATGCAGTAGGTTTTTTTGTTGGGGTGCTTGTTCGCGGAGTGTTGGAGTTGTTGGAAGCGCCCCTGCCCCACGTGCTGAGGCCGAAGCCCAGCGGGCTGGAGTCGGCGCCGCCAGACTTGCTGAAGGTACGGTTCATGTCGAAACTGTCCTGTCCGTTGACGCTGGTCGAGTCGTCTCCCCCCGCCGCGAAACTCTGCTGCCCGTCCGGGAGTAAGTCTCCGTCTGTGTCTGAATAGTCGTCTGGCGTGGGGTGTTGGTGGCCGTGGACAGGCGGAGTGGCGCCGCGCCGCCTGGTCGCGACAACACTCCCCAAAACTCCGCCTTTCCGCCCCGACCGCGAATCCAAACTCGCTCGGGACTTCGTGGAAGTTCCCCTCGAGTCTGCTACACTGTCGTACGAATTCTCTGACCTGTTGGGTGTCCGGGACGGCCGAGACTTCGGGGTTCGTCTGTGTCGGAATTTCTGCCCGTTCCTGTCCGCGGCTTCTCCCTCGCTCTCGTCCGAGCTGAACCCGATCAGTTTTCGCGACGGTTTCGCCCCGACGCCGCCGTGGAGGATTTCCTTCGCTGGGACGAAGCTGTGTGAGCTTGTTCTCGTACAGACGCCGTGTGGTCGCCGTAACGGGGCCAACATTTTGGCCTAAAGCTTTCAACTCCGCTCGCAGCTCTTCATCCGTTAGCTGCGCCGCCATCTTGAAATTCTCCCGCCAAGTCCCGGATGTAGGAAGTAGGTCAGCTGAAGTCACGCGAGAATAACCGAGAGTCTGTCTGGGGTTTCGTTCAGATGGACCGAAATATTTTATGGTTTCTATTATATAAACAGCCGCTTCTGCGGGCTAAAAAAAGAAAAAGAAGAAAAAAGAAGAAGAAAAATAAATAAATTTGCTAAATAGGGAAAATATTGTGTCGGAGATACCAACAGAAACGTTTTCTCTATTTGGCCAATTTCATTTTTCCTGCATTTCACCAACGTTGCAACATTAAAGCACCCTTGCGTTTTCTTGTGTATTTGAAACGCAAAAAAAGGGTTAATTTTTAACCTCCTTGAAAAAAGAAAACGGCAAGGAATCGGACATTTCAAACTGAATTTGGAAGGTTTGTAATCATGTGCGTTTATTTATATACATGTATGCCTAGGCCAGGCCAGGACAGAAAGACCCCAGGTACCTTGTATAAAGTAGGTGACTCATATGAGCATGCTACGGTGAAGCGATCCCAGCCACTTCCTTCTTACGGTCAAGTTGCGGTAACAACCCCACCCACCTTCCTCCCGGCTCTGCTGCATTCAAATACCTAACTGATCCGTGTCCATAATATCACCAGGGTCCATAATAAAATATCACCACATTCAGAAATAGTGTGCTTTAAGATATTTTTACTGCAACGTATACTTTTGGTATGCACTCCTTCACACATCAAATGTACATACCTAGGGTGTGTTGCAGTAAAAATATCTTTAAGCACACTTTGTCTCAAGGTGGCGATATTATGGACTATGGTGATATTATGGACACAGACGTTACGCAACCACACCTGTACAATCTTGAGGGTCCAGCAGGGCTCTCCCCAAGCATTGAAGCTCCCAAAAATCCTAGCACCCCTTGAAAATCTTCAAAGTTAGCTAAATTTTAGGGTTTTCTCTTAGTACTTCATCAACCGCCGATTAGGGAGCACCTCTCCCCTCAGACTTCTGCGGGGGCCAAGACCCCGGGCCCGGGTATGCCACGATGTTAAAAAACTTCCGATTCCAAAAATGAATTCCACTAACTCAAATCTCGGTCGTAAAATAATACTTGAATTTGGAGAAGAAGCTCACTAAAATAAAGATCAGAACAGAGTAGGTAAGTATGAAATATTACACGTTATATCATACCCGGGCCGCGATAACGTTCGATAACGGGTTCCAGACCGGGCCGTACTTTACGGTACGGCCCGGTCCGGAACCCGTTATCGAACGCTTCCATGGCTCCCATAGAACGATTCGAACGCGTTTCGCCCTAACCGCGTGTGCCCCTTTCGAAAATTCGAATACAGAATCCGGACGTTGGAATTGATGTTGTTGCGTTTTAGGGTTCAGTGGCACCAACTTTTGGCTCATCTTGCATTGAAAGGCACGTTTTACAACACGGTGTATTCCGCA